CTATGATTTTTATGTAGTTGCAATAATAGCAATATTTTAAGAAATATTTTTCAACCATATCAAAGAACTGAGTGGGGTCCAAATAGGTTGGACCTTCTCTGTTTTAATACAGACAGAGCATACTATTAAGATAAAACTCAACATGATAAGACCCTCATATACCCATTTACTTGGGAGTTGGGTTCTTCAGAAAATTTAATTTGCAAACCTCCACAGAGAATTCATTATATGTAAGAGAGCAAAATGTTTTGAAAACAAAGCAATTTCACAAAAGCATTAAAAAGTACAAGAAAATGAATGTGGCAGAGAAGAGCACAAATGAAGGAGTCTAAATCTCCATCATATGGTTATGAAATATTTGATCCTATTTAAAGTGCCTGACCATTGAGCAAACCCAGGTGCTACACTGAGTAGTGTAAATAAACATGCCTGCAGTTTGTAAAAACATCATTGGAAGAAAATTTTAAACTTTAAAGTAAAACCTAACTGGCTAAAGACTAATTTATTTTGAGCTAGTAAGACTCATACAATTCAAAATTAGTCAATAGGAAAAAGGGCTTTAAAAGACATGAAATTAAATGGTGTTTTGTTTCTTTATTGGTGAACATGGTAACTGACAGCCCTGTCACTGAGCTGACTCACAGATTGATGCTCAGAAAACATCAACTGATGATACTGACAGTAAGAAATGCCAAAAGAAAGCAATATTTTAAAGATGCACACAAATTTGATCTAAATCTTCCACATAATAAAATTTGTTATTTGAAGCAGAAATTATTGAGCAGTATTAACATTCCCTGTCCCTAGATGATTTTGTTTATTCATCTCATCATATACATGGCTAAAGTGGTTAAAACTAACCCCTAGAAATTTTTATTTGAATCTATAAATGACACTTTTACTACTTAGCTATTCAAAGCAATTATGATTTGATAATAAGTGATATTTTAAGTCCTTTTTAGAAAACAAGAATACATTCTGAAGATACTGTGCAGAATTAAAAACCCAAAGTAAACTGATACTTCAGATATTTTTCTTTTTTTTAGATGTGTGTTTCTTTAGTAACCATCAGATAATATCAATGAACCACTTGAAAACATATCTAATAAAGTGAAATCATCAGTGTCAAATATAAAATGCAAATATAATGCATTTGTTTTCTAGAAAAGCAAAGAAATAATCTAGTCACTTAAAAATTATCAAAGATTAAATTCCTTCTGTAAATGTAGATAATAAAAACCTGAATGAAGCCCTCTGTCTTCAAACGATTCTATCAATTCTGAAGTAAAATAAATCCTTATCAGTTGGATTCCTCAGAAACAGCTATTTAAATTTATCTGGCTCAATTACTCAATTATTATGAGGTCAGAGGTTCCATGGGGAGAGGACTGTCACATGACAAGAAGGCCATGCAGGGAGGACAGAGTGGTGGGAAAAATGGGGAAGACAAGGTCAAAGAAGTCAGCCACTTCCAAACCATACACAGTTTTAGGCCAGGTGATGAGTTTAGATTCCATCATGAGAGCAATGCGAAGCTCTTGGAGAGTTTAAAGCAGAGCAGTGTCCTGAATTAACACTTTTCAAGGAGGACTCTGGTAGCTGGATTTTGGTAGAGTCAGAATGGATGTGGGAAGAATGGAGGAGATTATCTTAGTTACCTTGGCAAGATATGGGTAGCTGTGTGGCGAAGGGAAGCAGGTGAATACAGGAGATGTTGTGGAGCTGTAGCTGATGGAGGTACACTAATGGGTTAAATAGAGTGGGAAAAGGCATAGTAGAACTCAAGGCTGCTGTGGTGCCATTTGCTGAAGTGGGGAGAGATGATAGGAATACTATTAGGGGTGGAGGTGGGAGAGGACTAGGGGGATAGCAACAGCCTAATATTGGGTTTTATTAACTTTGGAAAGTTTATTTCATATCTAAGTAGACACATCAGGGAGGCAGTTGGATATAAAAATTTGGAGCTTGATTGAGAGGTCATGTTGGATTTCTAAATATCACTAATATTTAAAGTTGTATGAATGGATCCAGCTTGAGAATGTAGCTGAAGTGGAGAAGCTTGAATCCATCCCTTGAGCTCCTCACTACTGAGAGTTTAAAAAAGGAATAGAGCCAGCAAAGAGGCTGAGGAGTACAATTCAGAGGAAAATCATAGAACAAGGCTGCCCACAATCTCCAAGAACAGACTGTCCAAGAAGGGGAATGTTGCCCTCTATCAAATGCTGCAAAGACATCAAAGAAGATGAGGACAGAATAAAGTCATGAGTGGCCCTCAGCAGAGAGATTTCAGCAAGTACTTGGAATGGAAACTTGGTCACCATCAATTGAGGGAAGAATGGAATGTAAAAACATTAGAACAATACTTCTGCTTGCTATCGAGGGCCAGGAAAAAAATCAGAAGGAGAGTAAGAAGCCCAGGAAACCTAGAGTATATATGAATACTAGTCAGACTAATCCAATAGAAAAGGAGAAATTGGTGATGCAGAAAAAATATGTTTAACTAAAGAAGAAAGTCTTGAAACTGGTAAGAGGGAATTGGATCCAACAAACAAATGGAAAGATCATCCTTAGACAAGAAGAGAAACTCTCTACCCATCACAGTAGTAGGAAAGTCATGGGGTGTGCATTAACACACAAGGAGGTTCATATGTTTGGGTGTACATGATAAGGAATTAGTTTTGGAATAGACAGAGCATATTCATATTATAGAATAACAAAGCTAGCGATCAATTGTATTAATGAATTTGTACATATATATGCTTATTAGTAGAAGGCAAATGCAATGGAGAAAAGGATATGAAGCCGTATCTTATGTATTGCCTTTGCTAATTGAAAATTTGATTCTTACATTTCTACTCATTACATCCTTATTTACTGTAGGTCTATGATTTACCAGTAGGATTATTTTACAACATTAACCAGACAGGGAGCTATACACAAATGCTATCTTCCTTGACAGGTGTCACCCTACCATCTTAATATTCTCTGATTTTCTTTTGGTCTCTAAGTTGCACCTCACAGTGCAAACAGCACTCTCCATTTTTGTCTCTTGCTCAAATAGATGTTAAGGTTTCAGGATGGGGCCAAGTGTCTTACATAAAATATCATTGTCTCTCTCACTGTGAAAATCTAATATTAGACATAAAGTAAGTACTTAATAAACGCTTGTTGACCAATTTATCTTTTTAGATTTGAATGGCTGATAAACAGTATTATGCAGCAATTTCTTGACTGATAGAAGATGCATACTTCTTCACGGCACCTGCTGGGCATTGCTGGGAGTTGCTGAAATCATTCATCCAATTTCTCTTTTATAAACAATTCAATTAGTTTGTCTGGAGTGAGATCTATAATGTGTATCAATCAAAAGCATAATGGGGAGCTGAGTACAGGCTATGCTCATACTGGTGGCTTGCATCTGCTCTCTCACAGAAAGAAGATGTCTAAAAAAGTATTCAAGTATGAGAAGCTTTAAGCAGGTTGTAATATTTAGGACTGAAAATTGTGAAATCAATGTAGTCATATCCTTAGTGGAAAAATATAATTAATATGAATATTATTAAGAAAAGATTCATTACCATAGTCTATTTTGCATCCTCTTAGACAAAATTTTTCTTCAGTTTACAGTGAAAGCTTAAGTGTACATAAATTTCTGGTTTGTTGAATTTTTGTCAATCATAGTTAAATTCCTAATTTAATTCTTAATTATTAAGCCAACTGAAGGTATTTGGCTATCATATTTAAATAGGATTGCAAATATTACTTACCTATTTTTTTTATAGTTAGTAACAATACTATCATGTAATGTGACCCTTTAATTTTATCCAGCAAGTTACTATGGACAGTTAATGAGCTAACAACTAGAATGACATTTAAGCCAATGGCCCAGATACTACACATAGCTGTCAGAGAGCTCTGTGGAAATAAGTGACAATCACCCTCAAAATCTGTTATTTTATAAAGTAGCTATTGGCAGAATGAACTATTTGAATTTCCATGTTATAAGCAAATTGACAAAGACAATGTGAACCCCCAAAAATCAATAAATTTATAATTTCAGGATATAGGAAGCCTATACCAAAAATATCATTAGGAACATTTTTTCAGTTGAATCCCATAGCATTAGATAATATAATATTTTTCACAAGTGTTTTTTTTTTTCAGTACCAGGGATCAAACTCGGGTACTTGTGTTTGCAAGGCAGGCAGCAGAACCACTGAGCTAAATCCCCAGCCCAGATAATATAATATTTTTTAAAGATTTGTTGCATAAAATAGTGTAATTGAAACATTTAATGAATTCAGTAAGATGCATATACATTTATAAGATTCTTCAATGTTTACACCTAAAAAAGTGATTATAGCAGTCATTAAGTCTATAGGTAACTAATATTAGGCCTGCTTAGCTATTATTTTAGGTTTCTACTCATTTCTCACTAACGTACATGGATTTTTATTCTGCTTTTATTTATTTCACATATTAGATTCTAAACAGCTATTATATGACAAAGTTTACATTGTTCATTTAAAAAATAAATCTAGATATTTCAGAATTATTTTTAAATTAAAGTGAATTATGATCCACTAATTCTTGTAGGTTCTTAGAGGGAATAAAAATACACTTACTAGAATTATTTTTGTTTAATCACCAAGAAAAAAAGATACAAATCCTTCTCTTAAAACTCTTTTCTCCTCTATGGAAGGAACAAACCTTAAAATGGAGTTTAATAAGCAATTAATGGCCCAGACTTAACTAAATACTTTAAATGTGATAGTATAATATCTTGGTAAATATAAGAATTTTGAAAGGCATAAAATTAAAGACTTTGATATGTGTAAGATCAATAGGCATGACTTATCACTATTTAATATGAGCTTTAATTTTTAAATGCCATGTTCCAATGAAAAAGTGTACTGCACAGGAAAATTGAAATTTCGATAAAGAATCAAGACAAAAGAAACAAACTTCATATTAAAGTATCTTTAAGAGGTTATACTTACGCAGCAACTTCCTCTTTTGACAGTCCTTTGAAATTCATCTCCAGGTAATGATCTATGTCATCTTTTTCTTTGATCAGTTGAGACCTAAATGAAATGGAAAGAAATAATGAAGCACTGCCTTATGAAGTTAAAAAAACTCCCAAACACATAAAATGCCACCAGGAGAACAGAGGTATGCAGGGCGTAATAGCATAGACAACAAATATTCTGAAATTGCTATAGATTTAGGTTGTTGATGGATCATTTCAAAATTTTAATTTTCCTGAATGGAAACAGATAGGGAAGATCCTTAAAACCAGTGTAAAAACAAACAAAATGCTAACAAATTGCAATAATCCACATTCTTAAATAAGTGGAGTTTTCTCCTCAAAGATTACAAGGTGTTCCATCTTGTTCATGCTATTTCACAGCATAATATTTCAACTGCAGAAGTTATATTTTGTTTAGCATAGATATTGAATCAAGAACAATTATTTGATACAAACATTACTAATTTTTTGCAGAAATGCTGTTTAAATCACACATTTTTAAAATCACACATAAATGTCAAATTATTATTAGAGGTTCAAATGCATAATTTTTTTCAAATGCATAATTTTAAGGAAACTTTACTGAGCAATATATCTGTAGTGTGCTTGTTCTTCACAACTCCTATACAATTCAAAAAATAAACATGCTATTAACTTCTCATAACCATCGAGATATGAAATTAAGTAAATATCTTGTTTTATTCAGAAGCTATTACTGATTATGTGAAATTTGCTCTAAAGGTTAATTATAAAATATTTTTCTTCAACAAAATGAATGAAAGAAGTTTTCTTAAAAACCATCAGATCTCAGGGAATGCTCACCTTGAAAAGAAAATATAATCTCAATCATTAATAAAGACAGGAAGAACAAGGATTTTTTTTCAGACTTTGCAAATATTTCACAGCATTCAAAAGTAAGATGCAAAGCTGGAATGCACACACAAATTATGCATCTATTGAATGATTTCTCAGCTACAGAAAAAGAAATTTTTGATTTGAGATTTTAAAAGAACTTTTATGTTAGTTTAACTGTGTATTTATTTTGGTTCAAGGACTTTGGTCTTTTCCAGAAATACTAAAAATGAGATATGAGAACAAAGAAGTCTCATAAAACTTGGATCTGTGCCTTGCAGGAATTGAGAATTAGGCGTATAAAGAAAATAGTCTAACTTACATATGCACAATACTCATATTGATGAATATACATATTACTAAAAGTCAATAAAATTACAAATGGCAATTTCAAAGTTGCAACATCTCAGTTAATATTCATAAATACAATGAAAATGATTCCAGTTCTCTGTTCTGCATATTCTCAGTGACAACTCCAGTAGCTAAGCAGCCATTCACAGGCAGCCTCAGTCTGAAGATGCACTTTTAGACCCCAGCATTATTTCAGGAACTAAATCATGCCTGCCAATCTGTCCTAGTGGGAAAGGTGTTACCTTGTCCCTTTAAAGCTGAAGTCAGTGTTTGTGTTCTTGTGGATTAAAAGCCACATACCTTTCATTTTTTTAAGCTTCTTTCCTCTCTTTATACACATTTTAAAAAGAAACATTTTGAAACTCTTTAGGAACTGTGACATAATTGCAGTAGGAAACAAAACGATTAGATGAGCACTAGCTTGATAGATATATTTATAGTTTTTGAATGAGGTTCGTCAGTCCTCTTAAAACATATTTGAATGTCTGAATATAACAACGTATTTCTCTTTTTTCCTTACACAATTTTATTGTCTGAGATGTGCTATTGACATCTCTTACTGCAGAAATTTTAATCTGTAGGAAAAGTTCTGAAACATACCTTGAAATTGCCCCTGAGGAGCATGGCAGCTTCTGTACGGCTAAAGCCATAAGCTTTGGACGTGTCATGGGTGGTGGGGGAAGGGTGGTCATTTTGGACTACAAAAAATAAGCAGAAATGGCATTGTAAAGAATGAATCCTTTAAGACATGATTAGCAATCTAATCTTTCTTAGGGGAGACTGCTTCCATAGGTAGAGCTATTGTTATGTTACTAAGGAACAATATTCAGTGAGTGGATTCTGTATGTTGCTTCTCTCGTTATTTTCTTCTGTTTGCTTTTCAGCCAATTTATTACTTGTCTGCATCTCCACCACAAACTAGATAAGAAGGAAATCTGATGAATGCATTGAAGATTCAGACAATCACCTTGCTTTGGTAAGAGTTTTGTTAAGCAGCATGGTTGCAATTAAAGAGTGAAGGTTCTTAGGATAGTTATGGATTTCCAATGCTTTGCTTTGCTCTCCTGTTACAATCAATGATTGAAAATAGCTCAAACTTGGTTGTTTCCTTAAAACCTCATCACTTACAAGAAGTGATAGATGCTAAGAATAATTCTCAATAGGAGACAGCTACCTTGCTAGGGAAGCACATAGCTACGATATGTAGTATAAGAAATATAGTGGCTTCAAAAAGTTGTATAAAAGAGCTTCATTTCTCATACTTTATATGTATCAGGAACCTGGATATGAAATAATAGAGATAGCTTTTCTCTGCTCTGTGATGGTCAGGGGGACCTCTGCTGGGAAGGCTCAGAAGCTGGGGTAACCCAATGGTGAGGGACAGGAGTCAGCTGTGCATGTCCTCACTCAGGTGTCTGGTGCTGGATGCTCTCTTAGCTGGGACTTCCAGTGGGGCTGCTTGTTGAAATACATATGCGTGGTCTGTTCATATGGGTTGGGCTTCCTCACAGCATAGCAACTGTAGATTCCTTATGGAACAGCTCAGGGCTTAAAAAGCAACAAGATGCAGGTGGTAGATGAATCTCCCTTGAGGTTCTGGCCTTGAAAGTCACACAGCATCACTTCTGCTGTGATAGGAGGCCTGATCAGACTCAAGGCAGGTGAACACACAACCACTCCAGATGTAGAGTGTCAAAGCACACTGCAAGATGATAATGTGGGATGAGAGTCAGTAGCAGACCTCTTTAGAAAATGTAATGTGGGGCCAGGGATTTAGCTCAGTGGCTCTGCTGCCTGCCTTGAAAGCACAAGGACCCAAGTTCGATCCCCAGTACCAAAAACAAAAACAAAAAAACAACAGAAAATGCAATGTGCCACAGTAGTGAGAAATAAGAAAGGCAGGTCTACAACATCAAGTTATTTAAAGTCATTCCCAAAGGAAGAAATGTGGGCATAATATCTGGTGGATTTAAAATAGAAAAATTGTTGCATGTGGCAAGGGCTCTCAGTGCAAGATAACCCATACTTCTGTTAAAGAGAGGGGCATCCAAACAGCCAAAGGTTTCTGATCCAGCCCCTCACCCCCAAGTATGTCCTCCAGCTTTGACTTCTACCCTTAGCATGACCAAGCACCTGGAAGGCTTTCTTTAGGTTTTAAATCACTTATCTCCAGCATTTCATACCTGTGTGACGTACAATAAATCACTGTTAATTTAGGCCTTGAATATATTCAACAGATATTTATTAAACTACTACTTAGAGACAGGGCACTGTCCTAAGTGCTGAAGGTTAGTGAATACAGAGACAAATATCTCTTCAGAGAATTCTGATTCCATGGAATTCCCATTATAGGCATAGATATGGAGACAGACAATACACAAGTAAGCAAAATATGTAGAATACATGTACTCTATAAATATCTTATCAAAATATATAAAGTAAGAACATGTCTTATCCATCCAGATGACGGATGATAAGATTTGATAGTGAAAAATACAGCAGGGAACTAGAAACTACACAAATCCTCACAAATACTGGAGGGATGAATAAGAGCAGAAGGAGATGTGGTCAAAGAAGCTCGGCACAATTTTGGTAGTGCACCAGCAAGGTAGAGTCTTGAAAGTTACTGTAAAAATTGTAAAAACTGTCACCTTTCTGTCATTGAGGTAAGAATCCACGGGAGGAGAAGTAGCCTGGAACTGACATGATCTCACATTCACTTTGAAAGAATCACTCTGGCTTCTCCTTCGAAGTTAGATTGTAGGGAAAGGAAGCAGACAGCAGAGAGGCCAGCTAAGAGGCTGCTGTGAAATCTGGGTGGGAGAGGATGGGAGTTCATGTAGAAGTGAAGATGGGGGTGTGGTCAGGGCCAAGTCAGGGCCACCTCTGGCCAGCTGAGACGTAACAGTGCTCTGTGCTTCAAAGCCATAGTTGGGTGGTGGTGGTGAGGGGAACATGAAGACTTGAGGGAAAGATCTTCTGAAATTCAGTGTAGAGATGGGCAGTCATATTTCTGAAAAAGATTATTACTTTGGCCTAAAAATATTTTTCCACCTACTTATGAAAATAATTTCAATGCAGATCATTGTTTTATTTTAAATATAACACAATCCTAGTATCAGTTTATCGGGGCAGGATATGTCCCACAAATCCTGTTATATATATATTTTTAGCTTCAAACCATGGTCAACTGTAAATGTTAGCCCTTTCCTGCAGAATAAACATCCGAAACATATTACACTACAAAGCATACCTTCATAATATAATGGCTTAATTCTTTTCTAACTTAGAAATATATCTGATCCAATGTTGTATGAGCAGAGTTACTTGGAGAGCCAGAATTTACTAAATGCAACATTATGCAGAATATGAGTTAAGGGGTGTTGACTGACTAACATAAGATTAAACTCCATGGACACCACAGGCTCCCCCAGCTCACTTCCCATGAGCTTACTCCACAGCAGCTGTGATGACTGCATTCCAGAGACCTCCAAAGTTACAGAGTAGATTTGGGCTAACCCAGTTCTTAGCCCTTACCCAGCCCTAATGGATTTCAAGAAGGATAGAAGATAACAATTACACTGCATTGGGTAAGGGAATTCCATCTCTACTAGTTAAGATTGTTCTGAGGGCCCCTCTTTGCTTACCAATGCATGATGCAGTGGGCACTGGGGCCAGAGGAAGCTCTGCACAATTGCAGGTGCCTTCGAAAGGTTCATCAAGAAGCTTCCCTCAAACTAGGAAGATCCAACTACTTGCAGACAGGGGAACAAGACCACAGAACCTCTGATCCAGTCAGGGTCTCCCATCAAGGTGCACATAGCCCTTCTTCCCAGGGTGGCCTAGTAGTCTGTCAGATAAAATTCATTCTTCTTCATATTTACTTAGAATAGACTTTTTCTTAGAAAATAAAAGCACCTAATGAAACCAAATGCAAATGATATACATGGAGAGGAACACGTCTTCTTTGTCACACAGATCAACTACAATTTTTTTAAAAATTTCTGAGTCAATGTTTCCTATCATTAAAGTTTCAGCTGCCAGTTCCTTCATTTTGCTCTCCTCTGATCTGAGAACACGAGCAGCAGGAGCACCTTTACTCTTAAATTTAGTTTAATATAAGTATTGCAAGCCCTGCTGGCAAGCCTCAAGGCACAAACTGAATGGGGGTTGCTCAGAGCTGAATTAGAAAGTGGGAAAAGTTATTAACTGCATGTTGGAAAAATATCCTCAAACAATGTATGTTGAAAAGTCTTATCTCATAGGTAGGATGGAAACCCAGTAGGCTCTCTTTTTGCTCTAAATCCTAAATTCTATCTTGCCTACCTGTTGGACAAGGGAATTTTTTCATAATCGATACATGGTCACATTTTATTTCTTACAACAGATAATGTGTGATCTGAATTTCTTGATGCACGTACTATTTGCAATGCATGCAAAGTATCATTTAAGTAATCACTATCTTTTTGTGACTTAAAAGTTTAATATTATTTATGCTGAATTCTCCTAGAGTAGGAATTAGCTGTATTCTAGCAAGCAAAAGCAGCCAAGCTGAAAACTAGAGGGAAAAAATGCAAGGGTGTTTAGGGACCTGACAATTCAGGCTTTAATCATACCCACAGAGTGAAGAAAGCCCCTTATTCTTCTTTAACATGAGTTGTAGTGTTTTCCCTGGATTAGCCAGACAGCTTTCCAAGTTCCTAGGTGAGCTCCAACCTAGACTTGACAATGACGAATGCAACTCGGGCTGTGTGGGGAATAACTTAGGCCCATAGCAGAAATGGCCTTTGGCCCCCAGATTGTTACTGCAGAGGAAAACACACAAATGGCATGCAACCATAGGGAGGAGACTCGTTCCTGTTCAGGTACGGGAGAAGGAGGAGAGGTACCTCTCTGGCTGATACCAAAGTGAACTTAGCTCACAGAACCCAGGCTGAAGCAGCCTGCTCAGAGGACCCAGAGGCAACCCTGTCAGTGCCAGCAAATGGGCAGTGCTGCATGTGGCACCACAGGGCTGAGACAAAGATCAAAAGGCCGCCTGAAGCCATTCCACTGTTGGTATTCAGAAGAGATTTGGTGCAATCTTTGATCTGCTGGTTGGTTCTTGTATCAGCAGTTACAGTCTCTAAGTTTGGCCCCCACATGCAAAGACAAATGAGAATGGAAAAATACAGGATGAAAGGTTTGAGAATTCTGGGTCAGGGTAAATGTGTTTCATGGTGTGAGTTTAAATTTCTGGCCCCCAAGTAAAATTCTTCAAAGACCAATCCTTCCCTCCTGCCCACTACCCCAGGGATGCCAATGCCATCATCAGGAAACATGACAGGGGCGGGGGCACTGCAGAGGCTACTTGGGAAAGGGCTATCTGAAGCTGACCTGTCCCCAGGGTTCAGTCCCTTTGGGGTACAAGTTGGAATGAGTGAAATAAGGAAATAAGCCCTACAAAGCAAATGTATCATATATCCTCAAGAGAGTTCAAAATAAATACAACAAAACTATTTATAAGAATTAAAACTTCTAGCATCACCAGAAGTTCTTGTATTAAGGAAGCTTAAAGAAAACTATGGGAGAAATATCAGAAATTATGCTGCTTATAACAGTAAAAACTATTCACACATGTAAGTTTAAGGAGTCATTAAATAATGTTTATCCCTTGCCTTAGAATTTTTGGAAACTTCTAGTATTCTGTGGTAGATAATTAGGTAGGTTGTTAAATAAATAGAAGTCACACTTTTCCCACCAACTGACATTTATTGATGGTTTCATCAAAACATAAAGTAGGAAAAGTGTTTGAAAGCAGGCCACGTTTCACTTGACTTACATCTACAGATTATTAATGAACATTTCTCCAGCCTTAATGATTTCAGCCTGAAAATCAGGAAGCAAAATATAATATACCAAAGGAGAGACGAAAAGTAAAGTTACAAGTCCATAAATAACTCCTCTGCTTATCCCAAGCTATACAGTACAGTTCATTCATATAAAAAAATACTGAATTACTTGCTAAGTGTTTAGGTGAACTTTAAAAAGAAAAGAAGTGTAGATCCTACGAAACTAATCACTAACTGAATGAGAATGCCAAGACATCTACAAAAAAAAAAATATATATATATATGTTCCAATAGTTTGTTCTCTTAAAATTATGAGTTAATTTTACTTGTTGTTGTTATTATTGTTATTTATTTATTTATTTATTTTACTCAAACCAAGAGCATCTCAGTTTCCGTTTTTTCCCCTCCCACTTCTGAACAGAATTAATGAACTTATTTCTACACCCATTTACTTTTCCAGGTGTTCTGGGGAGCAAAAAGCGCGCCTTCCTCATCTCTTTCTATTAGTTTCTTGAGCTAAAAGGCGAAGGCCTTGCCTCCGGAAGCTTGACACTTGCAAATGGAGGAAGGTCTCATGGGGTCAAGGAAAGGACTGCCTGGAAGAACAGCCCACCTCTCAAGAAGCTGACAAAGTCCTGTCCCTGTCACAAACCTGGGTGGACTGACTCTGCGGAGCAACTCTGGTTTTCTGTGTTGCCTAAGGGATTTCCCCACCGGTACCAGATGCCCGGCGCTGGCGCTGCCCTCTCCCCTGGTCCGGGTTTAGAGGCCGCTGGGCTGGAAGCTGGGACGCCGAAAGCGTCTCCAGGGAAACAGGGACAAGAGGGACGGTCAGGGGCGGAGCTAGGCTAGACCGGGGTTAGGGATTGGGCAGCTCTCAGACTCTTCGGGTGTGGGGGCGGTGCCTAGGGGTGGGGCCCATTGCTCCGGACCTGGGGCAGAGCTGGCTTCTCTAGCAAGGCTGCTTTCAGAAGTTCACATAATCCGGGCTTGAGTTTACCGCCTGAGTCATTTTCGTCACGCCATTACATTCTCAGTATTTTGCAACATTTCCATTTTGTCCATGAGACTGGTGGAAAACCGCTCAGTTTTGCATTCATAACCCCCCATGAGCTGTTACCATTTTACCCATCTGGATAAATCACCACCGCCCTCTCAGTCACTTCTGTTGTGGTCCAAACCCATGCAGACACTTTTCCCAATCCTGTCTCCAGTAAAATAATCCGACTTTGAGTTGTAGCCAACTAAAAAACTCAATCTCTCTCCCTGCATCCTATTCCGATAATTGTTATTATTGAACTTCTAGCTGCAATTCGGGATTTCATGTTTACACAATCTAATCACCCTGCTAATCTCGTCCCATTTTTCCTTCTCTTTTTCTCACACGCAGGTGCAAGGAAACTAGCCCTCTTGCTCATTCTCTCATAGGCATAGGAGCAAACGAGTGAGGCTCGTTGCTTATAATTCTCAAATATAAATGTGCAGCAAAGTGAGGCTTTTATTCATTGCCCCCAGTTACACACTGTAAGAGAGGGAGCAGCGATATTGCTGACATAAGTCATTCTAGTAACTGGAAATTGATTCTGTTTGGAGTATAAGCGTAATAACCCTAACCACACTTCCATTCCAACATCTAATTTGCTGTAACCAATCACTAAATTGTTTCCAACCAAGTAGGTTCACCTTACATGTTCAGTTGATCGTTGTGACTACTGGTGACTGGGCTCCGCTTCATTCCTCACATCAGGATGTCCCCTGATTCATTTGAACTCTGCTGTGACTTGTGTGAATTCTGTTCCTGGTCTTGCTGTTTTCCTGCATGAGAGGCTTGTGAATTCTATGCATCTCATTTCTTACATGAAGCTCCCTCAGTTGGCTTTCTAGGTGGCTCCTCCCTTCTTCTTTGGAACTACTCCTTCCGCAGCTGTGTTTTTCCACTGGCAATTCTGTGACTAATTCTCTTTCTCCTTCTGCTTGGCAAAGGATTCCTCAGAGCTAGGATATTCAGTTAGAACACTTTATTTGCAAGTGACAGAAAACTCAAACAGGCTTCAACAACAAAAAAAGGAAACTTTTCTGCGATCACAGAATGCCAGCTTCATGTACCACTTATCTAGAGATTTGGGCCTTTCTGAAAGTTCTGAGGACTTTATAGATTATATGTTTGCAACATATAATGAACACATTTTGACTTCTTTTTTGCTCCTCCCTCCACCCCTTTTATTTTTCCAGCATTAGAGTCATTTAATTATCTTATAAAACCTTATAAAATTAATTATCATATACAGATTGAAAACTAGATTAATAGGCCAAAGAACAACCATTGCTGAAGCATTTTATCTGAAGAAAACCTGAACAGGGTCATGTTCTTTTTAAGAAGATGAGCACATCTTTATTTGATGAGCACAACCTCTGGCAAGAACTTTAGGAAATTGTCACTTACATTTCATGGGCAGCTGAAAAATATGATCTTTGCTTAGCATAGCCTTATGCCATGTTAAAAATCAGGGTTGTGTAACTATGGAGAAGAAGAAGCAATGGCTAATAGCAATCAACATTAGTCATATAGATACCAGTTCATCTTCAAGATGGAAAAACAGGATCTCTGGTATGATTTGCCTCTATTGTTTTGGAAATAAGACTGGTTTTCTCTAACTTTCTGATTTGAGTGGGAATTTTGACAGCTCTTGATCCAGTGGGCCAAATCATGTCTCTTTGGGTTTCTTGTAGAGTGACAGCACAAAGCCATCAGCTGTGTGACCTCAATGCCCAAATAGGAAAGAGCTCAACCCTCTGATACCAATATATACAACCTGGAGCACAAGTATTTTCCCAACAATCCATGTAATATCTTCCTAAAGGAGTTGTTCTCATGTTTAAAGTCCTCACTCCTCTTCTATGTCTAAGGGTGAGGTGATCAAAAGGAGTGCAGAATAATTCAGACCTAATTTGCATCATGTTCAGACCTAATTTTCCTCAATAATTACTTCAACTTTACCTGTAGATGCTGAGCAATAACTCCAGGGCCTATGTTGGAAAATCATCTATAATAGCTTCAGTGTTGTGGCTTCCTTTATTTATTTCATTCTTCAACCCACTACCTTCTACTTTGTCTTCAGAAGGTCTTTAAAATCTCTCCTCCATCTATAGACATCTCCTATCTTATTTTCATCATTATTATTAGTATGTTTGTTTATGACATTTATAAATTCCTATTTTACTGGCATCTTGAAAGGGAAGGGAGATAAATGTGTGCTCCATTTGTTAGTCTCTAAATCTTTCTTAGGAAAGGAATTATAAAATAAGACAGAAGAAAAACTAAGAGACAGAAAAAAGAAAAGAAAAATATAGAAAAAATGTAGTGAAAATGACAGGTATGGCAGTACATGGCTGTAATTACAGCTCCTTGGGAGGCTGAGGTAGAAGGACTATAAGTTTGAGGCTAGTCTGGAAAACTTATCTAGACCTTGTCTCAAAAAAAGAGGTAGGGTGTGCTCGGGACGTAACTCAGTGATAGAGCATCTCTAAATTCAATCTTCAGCACCACCAGAAAAAAAAAGACACTTATTAGTTCATAATAGCCCAGTCAAAATATCTTCAATTTATAACAGCTAAATTAACTAATTTTCTATAAATTTATATCAGATTAATTTATTTAAATGTTCATTGACTGTCATGCATCTATTTCCTGTTCCAGAATTAGTGCCTTAAATTCCTGTAAGCAAGAAATAAGAATGTAAAAAAAAAAAAAAAAAAAGAAATAAGAATGTGTCAGAAGATAGAGATGTTTCAGATCACTACTTCGGAATTGGAATATTGAATACCAAAACAAGGAGTCCAAAAAATGTCTGGCATTTATTCCATACCAGTAACAGTTTCCTCCTACAGGAGGAGCGGGACAAGAAGCCTATGAAAGTCTCCCTCCATGTAGCAATTGCACTGAGTTAAATAATTGAAAGTTTTCACTAGATCATAATAAAGTTTACTCAGAAAGATTTCCTATAGGCAAAGGATACACAGAGCCAGAGATAAGAAACCATAGGTGACTTCAGTTCAGACTTTAATCTTTCCAAGTTGCACAGGATCCACTCCATCCTCAGAACGAAAGTTTCCCAAGTAATCTTTTATACTCCACTGATTTCATAGCCCAAACCACACTATGTAACTGGATAAACAGGTATAGATCACCAATCAATATATTTTTAATAAGCAATGTAGACAAGCTAGAACAGAGTGCATTCAGGGATGTTTCAGACATTAAATGGCTGCTGTAGTTGGAATATTGTTTGTCCCCTCCAAAATTCATACTAAAATCTGACAGCTATTGAGGTTATGTTGGAATGAGGGGCCTTGTAGAGGTGATGAGGTCATTAAGAGGGATTAATGCCTTTCTTGCTGGACTGGATTAGTAGAGTAGTTGACAAACTAAGACTATCTTTCCTGTTTTCTCATTTCCTGCTTGCCTTTCTATTTTTTTTTTCCGTGTTCTGTTGCAACACAAGACCCTTGACAGCCCTTTCTGCCCAATCTTGGGCAGCCTCTAGGTTCCAGCCTCTAGAACCATAAGATAAATAAACTTCTTTCCATTACAAGCTAAACAGAAAACAGACGAAATCAACATTATGTTAGTAGCTAGTACATTTAACTCCTATCTTGGCTAGGCAATCCTGGAGATAAACTCAGAGCTACCCTGATTCAAATGCAAGCTAAACTTCCTCTTCCCTTCCAAACCAGTAAATCAAAAGTCAGACTATTTCTAGGGAATTTCAGACTTGGAAAATATAGGGGTAATAATTCCTTACATATTCCCATTTAATCCCTGGGTTAGCTGGGAGGTATATATATATTCCAGTTGTCCTGATGGCAAATGGGAACTCTAACTGTGCTGCTTCTATTCATGCTAGGACCTTTTCTTCTGGGGTTATGTGGTATGTGGTGCATACTGTGTCATCTCTATATTTCAAGAAATAGGGGGCAAAAAAAAGAAGCAATATGGTTTTACCTAGCAGGGCAGCAGTGTACTTTTATTTTCCAATTCAATAATCTGTCAACTCTGGCCATTTCTATGCAATTCAGTCCTTAATTATTATTATTACAGGTACCTTAATTATCTTACTATCACATAAAATATGATGCTGGATCACTGCACTGATCAATATTCTAGTAAATCTGGAGAGCAAGCTTGGCATCTTGCCCTCCTTGGCACTACAAATATACATGTCAAAAGGAAGAATGTATATCTTAAAAAATGCAGGAGTCTTTCATATCAGTGAACTCTTTTGTAAGGAGTGGTATTTAGAAGGGTGGGCACTCCGATGTGGAGGGTAACTCACTGAAAATTTCCCATCAAATCAAATTGCTTATTTCCCTATTTTTACATTTTAAAAATGGATATGACTCTGTATTTGTATCCTATCATGAGATAATTATGATAGTTCTTATTTTGTGCCCTCAGAATCTGCCTTGCTAAATGCTGTGTTTGAATTTTAAAAGCTTTGTTACATAGGGCCGGGGATTTAGCTCAGTGGTTATGCCACCTGCCTCGCAAGCACAAGGACCCAAGTTCAATCCCCGGTACCAAAAAAAAAAAAAATCTTTGTTACATTGAAAGATACATTACCATCAATCCTCCTCAAAATACTCTTCTTGCTTTGAACACATTTAACTCATCATTCTGCCACTTTCTGAAGCAGTTCAGGAAGTCATTTTTTTGTGTCTTTTAATTGCACTGTTGTGGCTGCTGTGATGTCCTGAATAGGTTCAAAAAGTTTACCTTTCATGGTTAGCTGACTTTAGGGAAGAGCCAGAAGTCATGTTGTTC